CACATTTATGAAGTAATTAAAAATATTTTGTCAGCACATAATTAACCAGAGTGACTTAAAGAAATGTAAAATATGATATTTAGTTACATTTTAAATTAAAAATGTTGTTAACTCTTTGTAGATTGTTGATTTATCTTTAAACACTTTAAAAGCAAACATAGACCCAAACTACCTGTAATCAAAATTCACAAGCGGTTTTCAATAAATGAAATCCATTGAAAGCTTCATTATTTCATTAAATATAAATGGGAAAGAAGTAGCAAACTTATAAAGAGAGCTAGAGGTGCTCGGTTTTACCATCATACCGGTTTGCCAAAGGTTTTTTTTTCGATGATACTTACCACACGACTTTCTGATTTACCGGTACTTCGATAGTTTCCGTCAGTATGAACAAAAATTTCCGAGTAATCTTGTTACGCATTTATGGTGATAACATCATTTTGTTTACATGACAAAAAGAATTGAAAATATTATTGATTTGTTTTACAAAACAGTTGTATGTGTCACAAGCTATTTTCAAATATTTCAATGATAAATATATTATTGATCCTTTTAATCACCAATTGGTTTTGTTGCCACGAATACTAACTTGTTAGCCAATGGTATTTTGTGAAATATTTTCAGTTCAGATGCAAATCTTTAAAATCATTCCAGATTACAAATAAATAATAGATGTTAATTATTATTTATTTTCTAGAATATGGTAATGTGCTAATGCCACGTATTCATATATAAGACTGCAAAATCACCATACGATTTTCAAGAGAGAAATTGTATTCTGTTTGAATTTTGCATAATTTCTCAAGTCCATTAAATATTTTCTCATTTATTGAGTCGGCGTGTTTTATGTTTACTGGCCCTCTCTGATAAATATCTTGCCAAGGTGTTGGCATTCCACCCAAAAGCTTCTTTGCTTATTTTTACTATGGTAGAGTTAGTAAACTTGATGCAGTTACAGTTTTCATATTACACATCGTACAGCAACTCACATACACATAGCAAATTCATCTAGTATAAAGTACTGACTAATTAATGGAGAAGGGGGATACGCGATATATTTTTTGATTTATTTCAAGATATATTTTTTTCTGTCAATAATATTATGATATGATAGATTGTATTTTTTTTTGTTGCTAATAATCTGAGCAAGATATTTTTGCATGCAATCGACAGTTGGAATTTTTAAACATTCTAGTGCCCTTGTCCCAAAATATTAACTTGATGATCCAAAATATAATTGCGGGACACGGTGGAACGTATCGTGGTACAATCATTGATCTTCGTGGTATTTGCTCTAATAAAAGCACATGGACAAAATTTGGGACATTTACTGCTTCTTATGTAAAGTTTTCGCTTACCACAACCTGGCAGAGTGTAACTCTTCTAATTTTAAAGTGGGAAATTTCAATACATAAAACTTGCAAATAATTCCATTCAATAATTTCTGACCAGGAGTTTCTAACACTGCTATTTTCGTTTCAACCAACTGTGAGTTTCTTTACTAACATGGCTGCCATAAATCCATTGGCTGTATATTTTCAGACAAGAGAGAACGCTGTCCATCACCTTAGGTGAGCTCCAAAAAATTTCGTTAATTTCTGCAACTTAAAAAATTATGTCCCTTTTGAACCCATGTACACAAGAGTTACTTCGCTTCCCCTTTTAATGTGAGGATGTCGGTGCCTCCACTTGATTAAGTTTCACTGGACAACCTTCTTAATAAATTTTCATCCGATTAAGACAGAGAGCAGAAAAATGAGAATCTTTTTATTACATTATAAATACATATAAACCATTTGTTAATTAAGGTACTCGGCGTAAGTCCTTGTACAAGTGATAGCTTTCATATTGATTAGCACTCACCCTCAACCTCTCTTCTTAACGTTCATTTGGATAACAACGTCTGAATATTTTTCTGTCTGAAGGTGGCTCAAACAATCAGTATGCGGATCAAACATGTTCAAAGTTGACTCGTATTACGTCAAACATGTTCAAAGTTGACTCGTATTACATCAAACATGTTCAAAGTTGTCTCGTATTACATCAAACATGTTCAAAGTTGACTCGTATTACATCAAACATGTTCAAAGTTGACTCGTATTACATCAAATTTGCATGGAACTGTTCGCCTTTTAGCCATTCTAATTTCACCGGTGTAGTAGATATACATTAATACGTAAGCCAAATCGGCTGCTCATTTGCGACCTAAGTTAAGCATTCTAACTTTAATGTTAGTCTAACTCTGACAATTAGTAACCAAACAAACTAACCTATTTTCAATCCTTACTCAAAGTTAAATGAAAACTGAATTGCAAATTTAGTTTTCTTGTGACTATATGAAGACAATGTTTACGCTTTTCAGGCTAATTCTCTCAACCTCGAAACATTACTACGAAAGTATTCAGCGAAACCTTAAGTAGCTACATATATGTAAGAAGCAGTAGGGGAAAAGCACAGTTTAATACATTTTGGCATTTTTGAAGAAATCACTAACCTAAAAAGCTAAAAAATACAATATATATATATATATATATATATATATATATATATATATATATATATATATATATATATGTTTATATATATATATATATATATTTCATTTTCTAGTCTTCTTGGTTTAGACCGCTTGGTTTCAATGTTCTAAGGCGGCGTATCCAGTATGATTCCTTTTCCTTCCTGGTTTCGGAACTCCAGCTGTGGTTGTTGGCAATAGCGATAAGTATTATATCACTGAAAGTGTGGCCAGGGGAGGAGAAGTGTTCTGCGACCGGGCTTCTGTAAAAGCTGTACAGAAGCCCGGTCGCAGAACACTTCTCCTCCCCTGGCCACACTTTCAGTGATATAATACTTATCGCTATTGCCAACAACCACAGCTGGAGTTCCGAAACCAGGAAGGAAAAGGAATCATACTGGATACGCCGCCTTAGAACATTGAAACCAAGCGGTCTAAACCAAGAAGACTAGAAAATGAAAACTATGCACTAGTAGAATTTAACATTTTCTAAATCTTCTTATCCTTCAATTTTTACTATAAGAATAACCGGTATAGAACCAAATATCCGGGATATAATCTGCGTTACATATGTACACAAAGTATATATATATGTATATATATATGTGTATATATATACATATATATATATATATATGTTTGCTATATTATATTGCATTCCTCAGTGATATTGATTAACGTGTGAAAGGAAAAAAATATTTGAGCAATCAAAATGTAACGAATCAAATGTGGAAAAGGAATTTAGTTATTTCAAAGAATTTGTGCAAAATGTGCATACTGAAGTGTAAACAATGCACATAAAACTCAACATACACACCGATAAGCAATCTTTTACAGCATTCATGAACGCAACCTACAAGAGAATATTTATAATACCCAACTGTCAAAGACTCAAATAAAATTGATACATATCTGCCGGCCAAAGCTCCAGAGCAACCGGTGCATCTTGGGTAAATCTGTGATGTTTTGTAGCTAGAAGTATCATTGCGGCAGATTTGATGTCAATGACCTTTAGGCTTGTTAAAAATATTTCACAATTTCGAAAAAAAGAAGTTTGATACTAGAAGACTGATTATAATTCTAGTATTAACTTTATAAAGGAAAACGAGAAAAAGAAGCAGAGAAGAGGAAAACGCTGAAATATAAGGACTGAAGGAAGAAACAGAAAACAAAATGTCGTTATGTCACATGACATTTTGACTGAGTTAAAGTATCGGATATAAATGTGTCGGATTTCTTTAACTCAATAAAAGAGAAAGAGGAGCGATTGCAGTTTCTGATATTGGTGAAGTGAAAAGAAACAATTAAAATAAATTATGGACTGACTCAACAATTTGAGTAAGTTCCCCCCCCCCTTATATCGCGCAATAATATCAAGCCGTGTGAGTAAAGGAATCACGGTACTAATTAAGTTCCCACAGTAAACCTATGCAAACACCATGATATTAAAAATTCAATAACTTAAAATTTTGGAGTGCTCATGACCAAACATATTTATTAGTATAGATGAAACCTGGAAGTCAGCTTCTATGAAGAGGAAGGGATATGAGCCGCGACATTTTCTGGAGCTGCATATGTTTTAAATGTATTTTCAATTCCGCACCAAAGATTCAGGTGCTGATTTTAGTACTGAGTGTTCCAAACACAAGGTTATTAAAGAACTGAAATTCCATCAATAAAACAATGTCTCTATTTTTATTCACTTTCAACTAGGACAAGGTCTCAAAAGAATCTTTTACCTAAACCATAACTTACATTATAAACCAATTCTAGTCAGCCAAACCCGTTTATACTCTATTTAAAGTTCACCATTTCTAGGCTGGTTCCCATTTTCAATACAATTAGTACTGTGTGTCCTAGAGCCGACATACTTGATTAATTAGAACTTATGATTGTGCATTAACTGGTCCCCGATTTTCCGCGACCGGTTACAGTACAACAACTGAAACAATGCAATATGAAAGTAATATACGAATATCAAGAAATGACAGAAAAAATTCGACATACATTTTTAAGTGTATTTTAGGATTCCAAAATAAAACAAGCTTCGTTGTATTGCTGCTGAAAAATTACAACACTTAGAAGTACCTAAATTCCAAACTCACGTGGTAATTATCCCATATATATATATATATATATATATATATATATATATATATATATATATATATATATATATATATATATATATATATATATATATATATACAAACCAGGGAAGGATGCTCTAAAACTGATATAAAATATGTGATTTTATGTATCTGATTTTTAATGTAACTTTAACAATTTTCTTGTCATATCGCTGCGATGTCTGCAGTGTGGCAGTTTATAGCGATGTTCAGCACTGGGGAAAAATGCCGCAGACATGTAAGCATGATGTTCCTCCTAGTCATATTATCCTGACACCAGGCCAACCAGTACTAACCTCTTAATGCTGAGTGTCAAGCGAGGCAGTTGTTAGTACCATTTTTGTAAGTCTTTGTTATAACTCAACCGGGTATCGAACCCACATCCTCCCGCATCCGAGGCGGATGCTCTAACCATTAGGCCACCTGAGCTTTTGATATAAAATATGACTCTTGGATTGTATCGGTATTACAGAACTCTCATACATCAGGTGTTGGAACGGTTTTTTTTAAATGAGTGACAAGGAATAATTTAAAATTACAATACCGAGTATTGACAGTGGTGATCGTGAAATCCTGGATCGTCACAACACCAAGGATATGAATGATAAAATCAATAAAGCAAGAGAAAAGATTCTCGCAACGCTGTACAAATGCTCTAATTTAGGATCAGGATTGATTCTTGACAGATGTAAACTAGTTGAAGTGCATATTTTCCCGTACCAACCATTTCACTGACTGATTTATATTTGACCGCGGTCAGTAATAAATTACAAAAAAATGATGATTATATGTTTTAATGAGCAAATTTATCTGTGCTACATGCATCAAGCCAGTGATCTTAAAGACCACTCCATAACGGTCTCGCTTTTGGATCTGGGTGATCCAAGAACATTCGAAAAGCAAAACATTGTATCTTTTTCGCAATGCAAGAAGGTTACTTTGTTGCCGTTTGATTCCATGAGAGTGATATTTCCCGATTGTGTTACCACTAACTGGTTTGATCATTAAGCGATTGAAGTTGGTGCCCTTGCACCCCGAACTTGCAAGAAATGTTGTCTAATATCACCTTGTGATTGATGTGATGCGCTATTGTAGTAAACTAGATCATGGCATCAGACCCTTTTAGATGGAAAATAATTTTTCTCAGTAAGCGTGAATGTCTTCTGTCAAATTTAGTTTACTGGTATTAATCCGATCATTTGTATTGTCATATTATTTAGTTCATATATGAATAATGAATGTCATGTTACCCATTGGTGAGACTACTACAAAGTGCTAGCACTTTGCGGTCGGAGTGTAGAACTCGCGAAGCTAGCCCTCTGCATCCGTTATAATGTTAACATTCTTTTGCGTATTGATGTCTGAATAACCTTTTGTACGATTAGATCGTTCCATAAAAGCTTGGTAACAATGTGCATTAACATGTCCAGCATGGACCCGCATATGATGTTTCGCTAATAGTGCAGTAACAAATCCGAGAAATTCTTAACCTTGATCAACTTGCAATAATCGTGGACATGCTTACGATTCAAGTTATAAACACTAGAGTGCATCAGTGAAAATTATAGACGTCATCAGCTTCGCTTCTTTATCTCCTCTCACAACTGACAATGGTTAGCATATACTTGTATGTACGGAAACTAATTTGTCGATTTCATACATGATAATGAGAAAGAATCGTCAGCTGCTCATAAACACCCGCCCAACGCTTCAACGGGTGTCTGTACACCTCTTAATTGATCGTGTCCGTATTAAGGAAAGGAGGATTAAGATCTGGTTGATTATAAGTTCAATAATTTTGATCTTACGCAATTTATAACAGGTGTAGTCTTTTATTAGATTTCTCTGTACTTATGGCTGATTGTTAGTGGAGAGTATAGTTGAGAAGTTTTATCATTTTTGTCATGACTGACGATTATGAATTAGTAGGCAATATATCACAGGTTTGCTTTGAGTTTCTGTTTTGTTCAATCTATGGCACCTTGTGTTGCTGTGTCAGATAGTCTGGTCTACCATCCACCTTATACTCTATAATTTATATGTGTTGAGCTATGTCATACGGTCCCAACTCAGACTTCCGTGTTTTGTTGGGGGGTAGGGTGCCTCTAATGGTTTTCGATATTGTGCCACGTTATATTCCTATTTATTTTGGGGTTTGATTAGTGGGTCATAGGGTTATGTTATGTGTGCTGTAAAAAAAGAAACCCATTGATCCCTTGGTCTAATGATTTTGGGGTAAGAACGAAAGTATAATCATATTTAATTTAAAGGTCAGGTTCTTATGTACTATGGATAAGTTTCTTTATTTTGTATCAGGTATTGCCAAGGATAATGAAATCATCAAACTTAACTGACTCTTTCCTTAAATAGTTCTGCCAAGTGAATAGAAACAAGTATTCTCCGTACTCTGTTGCAAGAAAGCGTCGATGATTTCCGTCTGCAGGGAAGTCATTGGAGGTAACGAATGTTCATGCAAGTCTTTACATCACTTTCTCAAACAAAGCTTCAGAAATAATAGTTCGTGCCTCGTCTAGATCTTATTCGAACGTTTTTTTGAGTCATAGCCAATCATTTGTCACGTCGTTTTAAATAAAATTCATCTACTTGACATCCATAATGATGTTCCATGGTCAGGTTCGTTATTCCTGCCAACCTTTGAGAAAGCAAAATCGATGATTAAACGTTCTTCGTAATTTTTGAGATCATATTCACATCATGGCTAATACATTATGTTCATATTTTAATTTTGATTTTTAGAGTTTTAAACAAAACATATCATCGTTGCCTGACAGCATTATCGTGTTACATGTTTTCGATGTTCACAGTTCTCAGACTATTAATTTCTAAAGTATCGTCAAATTTTGCATGGAAGATGAGGTTCACTGTGTTCTCCATACCTAGTGCAAATTAAAGCTCCACACAAATGTGGTTTGAGTTTATTATGTGGAAATGTTAAGCGCCACTGTCGTAGTCAAGTGTAGGATCACATCCTCTAAGGGCGTTTCACCATGTATAATCGTCGTACAAATGCCCTGGCTGATGCTTTTATCTAACTTTCCTCTGGCTTCAAACTATCTCAAATAAGATCTCCAGTAATGTTTATGGGCAAAGTAATGTTGAACAGGTATAGTATATGTTTGGGTGACTTCAGTCTGGTGTGCATTGACTTTTTGGGATTAGAAAGTATTTTGATAGACGATTTCGTAAAGAAAATGATTGATGACAACGGCTAGAGTAAATTAGCAATCATTTGGTAACTCTCATTGGAAAATATGATGCATGATCTTTGAGCTTGTGTTAAAGTGCCACTGTGTCACTGCCATCTCACCTCTGTCTGCGTCAGTACGAGTCTAGGATTTGGCGAATGTGGATATGTGAGAAAACTTGCCAGTAGCTTCTCGTGGGTCGGTGGTTCTTTCCGGTGATTTCCCGGTATCTTCCTCCACCATTAATACTGGCCGTAATGAAAAGCCTATCGTTTGCTGAAAAATGGCGTTAAGCCCCAACAACAAAAACAATTCATATTGCTATATTGTACTTTTCGATACAAGTTCGACCCATGACAATTGCACGGGCTAGGCACATTTGATGTTGGTGAATGTCTTTTGGAGGACACTTCGTTGCAGTGTAGACAATATCGGATCCCATAAATCAGTGATGAAACCTACTGCTTTCTCTGGTGACATTTCAGACCTAGATTCTTTCAATTTCACTATATACGTGTATGCAGTCATTAATTTTTTTCTGGAAGTCACTTTTGGTCTCTCAATTGTGAAACAAAATCAACAGGGGCTACTGGACAAGGTACTTTCTTTGTTGTTCTAGATTTTTTTGGTCTTATGGTAGAGGTCAATAGTACTGGTTTATGTTCACACAGGCCATCTTCACTGACATAATACTTCCCCCAGTGAATGGGGCGACAAGGCAAGGTATTATCGTTACATCTTCATAGAGAAAGTAGCAACTTAGGAAAATAAATTTGTTCATATTTCAGTGTAAAAAGATAGAAGAGTAATAATGGATCACCATTCTTCTCAGATATTAAAAAAGAGTCATTCGAAAATACACTTCCGGTAGGACAACGGGCTTCTAAATTCGAGATACGTCAAGATAATTGCCATGTCTGTCAAGCGAAGGGTCACTGGACCCCAGAATGATGTCATCGTCAAAAAATGAATTCTCCTACATTAGATGATAAATAAAATGTAAATATAGATGTTATTAATGTCAGAAGAGCCAATTTGTCTTCAGATTATGAAAAGAAACTAGGAAACTCGGAAGAAGATTGTTTAAGTTTCACTGGACAGCCTTCTTAAAAAAATTGATCTTCAGAAATGAAACAGAAGATAAACAAAAGCACATACAAAAAAATGAAAAATACAAACAATTACAAGAAACTAAGATGTTGATCTCCATACTAAGAAAGAAATTCAAAAGAATAGATAGAGAGACAAAGAAAGAATGCAGACAAAACTGTAGTTTTGCGATCTGTTATGAAATTATATTTTGATTCTGATTTCGAGAGAATATGGCCAGAAAGATAAAGTAAGTTTCTCATTATCTTGATTCATTGTGCCTTTTGTTCTTTGCGCATGGATAAGATACTTAAATACACATACACACAGAGGAATTTAAGTTCTGCTTGATTTTGTAATGACTGATTGAACAATATAGGTAGCTGGAGGATACACTATGATATGATTTAAAATATAGGAAGCCCATAAAAGGATAGTTTTCCTTTATTTCCCATTTTTGGACAAGAAAACCCTAAAGGACGATTACCAAGAGCTGAGTCTATGTGGTGAGTCATTCTCCTGTTTGGAATATCTTGTTGCTGATTCTTTTTAGGTCTGTGACCATCGTTTCTCATTCTGCTTGTATGAGCTTAGATAGTATGTATTCAGCTCCAGTTAGCTTTCCATACCTTAGTGTCCTAACCGCAGTACGTTTGAGTACTCCTGTATCTCCTTGGGTTTGATGATTGTACAAGTCTTAGCATTATTCTGTTTATAGTTTGAGGATCTCTTGATCTTCTGCACATTCCTGCTTGGATTATGGTAATTTTACCTTGTTTCCTGGGTGTGAGGTCATGCACCAGTTGAAATGCCATCTTTCAGCTGTTTCTGATCAGACTGTCTTTGATTTTCCAGGTCCTTCAGTCCAGGACTACATTGCCTATTTGCGCTTTTCTGATCACGTTCTTTATCTCTCTGTAGTTTAGTGCCCTCGTGATAAATTTTTGCCATTATCAGTTTTCTTCTTTAATCAAATAATAATTCAAGGAGATCTGTTATAACCCAAAGCTTCTTTGTCTGACTATGTTTGCCAATGATCTCAATGTCGGTGCGAGTTCTAGCTGTGTCGAATGTGACGGTTAAAGTCTCAAGGTCTGTGTCCTAGTTACCGTGTATGATAAGATGTACGATTTTA